ACTTGACGGCAATGAGTTTGGATTTTTTTTTTGCTATGGGCCAGATTTGGGGGCTGTGGTAGTTCTGGTAGATTCTTACCCTCCGTGAGCGAAAACCTGATGTACGGTCACCACCCGTCTGTCGGTGGAGGCTTGCATGTTGCTATGATGCTGAGCAAGTTTCAGTGGAGCTTCCAGACTTAAGACGCACTAGGAAGAAAGGGCCTGGTGATCTCTTCTGAAAATCAGCCAATGAAAACCCTATGGATCACAACAGTTGAACTCACAATCGATCATGGGGATGGCACAGGACTGGGCAGGGTTCCGTTCTGCTGTGCGGGGAGTCGCCGTAAGTCAGGACAGACTTGACAGCAGCTAACAAGGTACGTGCCCAATACCGTGCACTTCGTAGGGATCAAGGGCCAATATCAGCAGTGGCAAGGGCAACCTCTCCGGCTCATTCAAAGTCTTCAATGGCTACTCAGCAACTTGGCTCTCTGCCTCAAAGCTACAGACAATGATGCCTTTCAAAATCTGATTTGGGATCACTTCTCCTGGTCCAGTCATCAACTCAAAGACTGGGACCCGCACACACTAAGAGTCTCACATGATCAAGTGAATTATTTATTTGGCAGCCAGATGAACAGAGATATCATCAACTCAGACCTAAATGGGGACAAAACTAGGTCTCACCCAAAGCCGCCCTTCCTTTCCAAGCCATAAAAGGGCCATCTAGATTCAAACGACCTCCAGACAAACAACTTCAGAGGCCAGGCAGGGAAAGTACTGTCCCGCAGGCAGTGGTGAGATGAGCCTCTTGGTAAGACAGGACTGACGCCTGAAATGCAAGTCAGAAAAAGTGGCTCCTTCTGTCATCTGGGCTCAGACAGGGACTCCCAGCAAGACATGGAGGTTTCACCCAAAGCTTTTTGAGAATGCGCACCAAATCAAAATGCAACACACACGCACACACCCCAAATGCCTTCTGGGCAATGCTCTAGGCTTTGGAATGTTGTTGTTGGTTAACACTGAGTGGACTCAGACTCCCAGCGACCCCATGAGTGCAGAGTAGAACTGCTCCAGAGGGTTCTTCAAGACTGTGACCTTCCAGAAGCAGATCATCAGGCCTGGCTTCCAAGGAGCCTTGGGTGAGTTCAGACCACCAACCTTTCAGCCAGTGGTTGAGACCTTGACCGTCTGCCGCACTCGGGGACTCCAGAGTTGGGCAGAAACCCTCCGAAGCCAAGTGCACGGTTAAGACCACACCTGGGAAGGAGGCCAAACTTGGGTGCCCCCTCATCTTCCCTTTCTGCATCCCCCCTTCAGCTTTGCCATGAGCTGATTCTCCGAGACAGCTGCCCTGGATCCATCCACAGGGGGAAGGGGAAGATACATCCATTTCTCACTACGGTATTCATGACTTAATTCCCCTCTCTCTGTGGCCTGTGTCATTTAAAATAGACAGGACAGGAGAAAAATGAAGGGCTTAAGCACTCAGCTACTAACTGAAAGGTTGGCAGTTCGAGTCTACCCCGAGGTGCCTTGGAAGAAAGGTCTGGTGATCTACTTCCAAAAGGTCACAGCCACTGAAAACCCTATGGAGCACGGTTCTACTCTGACACACACGGGGTCGCCATGAGTCGGGATCAACTCAACGGCAACTAGTTCGGTTTTTTGGCTATCCAAAAAGTATGCAGCCCAAGAAAGCGGGAGGAGTGGGGGACAGAGGCCTTCCTGGGTCACTCACATCACCCACTGTGAGGGACAATGAAGGCTTGATGACTCTCTTCGTCCAGGTCTTTTCCTGACAAGTTTTCCCCCAGCACCGTAAGGAACGTGCCCCCGGGAACTGTTCCCCAGGCCCCAAAGCCCTCTTAATGGCTCACCTTTTACAAAGAATGTAAGGCTGCAATTAACACGTGGTGACCTTTGTTTGGGCGTTGGGAAGGCAATATCCAAAACCAGACAGTGGGGACAGGGACTCATTAACTCAGCAGATCCCTCCTTCTCAGGCAGAGTCATGCACAGAAACCATTTCAATCTCCACAACCTGCTAAAAGCCAACTCTATTAGTTAAGCATTAAAGGTGTTGGATCTGAGAGATAACTGCTATGAATGAAGCCCATTGTTCCTTTAAAACAAGCCACCGAGGGCGCTGAAATCCAGATTTCTCCGCTGCTTGCCGTCCCCAGAGCTCAGATCCTCAGGTTCTCATGGCTGGAGAGGAGCAAATCAGAAAAGAAAAAAAGAAAAAAAACCAGTTGCCCTGGAGTAGTCAAGTCAACTCCATCTTGTGGTGGCCCCATGTGTGTCAGAACAGAAACTGTGCTCCATAGGGCTTTCAATGGCTGGTTTCTCGGCAGTAGATTGCCAGGCCTTTCTTCCGAGGTGCCTCTGGGTGGACTCAAACCTCCAACTCTGTGGTTAGCAGCCATGTGTGTTAGACGTCTGCAACACCCGGGGACTCCAGATCAGAAAAACCAAGGAGCTTTTCCAACAGAAGTACCCCTCTCCCACGCCCTCCTCCGCCATGAGAAAGAAATACCGCCTTAACTAGATCAAATCGACTGACCCAGTGAAATAATTGCACCTCCAATTAGTACCTCCTCCCTTCTTGGACGTGAGTTGTCTTCATTTAAGAAAGATAAGATGAGAGGGAAAGGGGACCGGGTACGGGGGGTGCTGGGCTCCTCACTTGGACCCCATCTGGGTGAATAATCTTGCATTCCAGCAGGCCCAGCGGGCTCAGCGCCAAACCAAACCAAATCAGTTGCCGTCGAGTTGATTCATGGCGACCTCACATGTGTCAGAGTAGAACTGTGCTCCGTAGCGTTTTCAATAGCTGATTTTTCTTAAGTAGACCACCAGGCCTTTCTTCCGGGGCGCCTCTGGGTGGACTCCAACCACCGTTTCGTTGGCAGAGAACACATTAACCATCTGTACCACCCAGGGACCCCAGGCCCAGCACAAAGGTCCAGAACCCAGCACACAGGGCTGGGGGCTGAGCTGAGTACATCCCTGGGCTATTCAGCCAAGGCCAACAGCCTTATGTGATGGAGCAAAAATGCACCGGTGAGAAGCCGGAGACACAACACGAGAGGAAGTGGAGCGGAGCCAGGAGAAGCTGTGCGGCGGGGCTGGCGAAATGAATTCCCTTGTAACGTCAGCCATTCGGCTGTCAGCAGAAAGCCTCACCTCCGTCTGCTGAGCTTAGAGAGGAAACACACACGACCAGCCTGGGTCCTATACGGTTCAAACGAAAGCAAACTCCTACCGCCCGTGCCAGCAGAATTTACACAGGGCTGCGAAAAGTGAGCTCACTGTCATTAGCCAGCAAACTGAGGCCTCGCAGCATCTGCGCACCCTGAACGGATAGAGATGCGTCCATCAGAAAGCTCACTACAAACTGAGTAAAGTGGGTTTTGTTTCCTTTGGATTAGAATGAGGTTTGAAGTTTTTTTCTTCTTCTTTGAAGAGTTACTCAGTTCAGTGAGTTCATGCTGAACACTCCCTTTTTGCCTGGAAATTCAGGCAAGAGGCACTTTTTAAACTACTCACCCTAACCCTGCTTACCCCAAACAAAGAGAACCCCATTTGGCACAGCTGCAGGAATAAGGGACAGATTAAAAGTGTGCCTGAGAGTTGCGGTCAAATGCATGGGGCTCCAGGACAGAGTGGGGAGATGGGGAAAGCAAACAGGTAGGGTGAGGCTGGAGACAGGTGGGCAGAGCAGCTCAGCCCTGCAACCAGAGGTCCCGTGCTCCGGCATTCCCAGGGACTCCCAGGCTGGGGAGCCCCAAGGTCCCAGGTCACAGGGTGACAGGGTTTGATGGCTGTCCGAGTCCAGAGCTCCCACCCCGCTCCCCTTGCAGGGACTCCTCTCCCACTAGTGCTGAGCAGCCCCCATCCTGGGGAGAGCCTTGATTCTAAGACCACAAGCTTGGGGCATCTCCCAGCCTGGGGTGACCCGGCACCTGGGGTGACCTGGCGCCTGGGTGCTCACCTCCAAAGTAAGTCATCGTACCTTGGGTTTCTGCTCGCAGGGCTAAGTTACACCTTAGATCTACCTGTGCCTCCCTGGCAAGGGTTCACAAGCCCCAACTTCTACCAAGTCTGGACAGGGAGCCCCTCCAGGTCTGTGGGTCTTCCTTTGCTTTGCCCTCTTCTAGAAAGAAAAGCAGGCATCTCCCATGCTCTGAAGTCTGGGGGTATCAGCGTGTAGTTCTGTACCAGAAGCACTGCCCTTTACTGCAAGCCCACCCGGGGGCTGGCGGGGTGGCAGCGATGGAGAGTGAGGAGTGGGGGTGGAAGGCGGGATGGAGGGAAGGCGGTGAGGATGGTTGGGGGTGCAGGGGTGGGTGGATAGAGGGGTGCATGTTGAGACGGGGGGGTGGAGGGGTGGGTATGTTAGCGGACATGTGAAAGCCCTCCTCTAAGCCCGAAGTTCTCCCGGTGCAAGCCAGAGAAGCGCTCGGCTTCCCCGCGGCCCGCAGGCGGAGGGGAATGCCCCCGGGTGCTGGCTGTCCCCACCTCCTCCCCCTGGATCCTGCAGAGGGGGCCGACTCTCAGCTTCTCCAAGGACTAGCTTATCGGCTCCCCTAGCCCGCAACGTTAGGGCGCGCGCCCTCCAGCCCTGGTGCCTGTCTCCACTGATCCGCGACCCCCACCCGCCGGGAGAGGACAGCCCCCCCACCCCCGCGCTGGTGTCCGCCAGGCGGCGCCCTCCGAGGCGCAGAAAGGCTGAGCGCCGCGGCTTCGCGGGTAAATCGGGCGCCCCCCGGGGGCGCTGACCCCAGATCGCCCATCCGGAAAGGCCGGGTGACCCAGCCGCAAGGGCCTGAGCGCGCGTTCGGCTCGACTCCTCTCTTAACCCGATAGAAAAGCCAGGTGGGGGGGGGCGGTGGATTTGAGGGGGTGGCGCACGGACTCCCGGCGCAATGCTCCCGCCAGGGTCCCCGGCCGCTCCCTCCAGCCCCGATCCCCAAATCCGCGGGCCGGGGGTGGGCGCCCGGATGGCTCACCTTCTCTCCGGTCAGCACGTGCAGCCCCTCGCGCACCTTGGCGAAGGAGCCCTCGCCCAGCTTCCTGCTGCCGATGAGGTAGTGGCCCACGCGCTTGTGGTGCTGGAAGTCGCGGAGCCGTTCGCGGGGCACGCCGCTCACCCAGGCCGGCAGCAAACTTCCCTC